CTAGTACTGCTGCTGCTGCTGCTGCTGCTGCTGCTGCTGCTGCTGCTACGACGACGACGACGACGACGACGACGACGACGACGACGACGACGACGACGACGACGACGACGACGACGACGATAACGACGACGATGACAATGCCAACGACAACAAAAATGACGACCAGGACGACGACGACGACGACGACGACGACAACGACAACGACGACGACGACGACGAGGACGACGAGCACGACGACGACGACGACGACGAGGACAATAATGCTGATGACACCAATAACGACATAAAAGCCACACTGCAGAATCTGTTTTTAACACTCGCTTAAGCAGCCTGAAAAATATGATGCATCAGTTGACATTGAAATCTTCGGGCTTGAACAGGTTGTTCATACTCTACTGCCTCTGTCAGCGAATCACGCTGGCCGCCTCCACATATTAGGAAATAACATGACCATAAGAGGAATCATAACCAGCAGAAGGATTAAAATTTAGAAATAAAATAAAATAAAATTAAAAAAAAAAAAACGACAAAACGATAGTCTCTCTTTTCACTCTTTAACAGCAACCCAGATTCAGCAACGGAGCCCGCGTCGTTCCGCTCCACCAGCACAGTGTCGATGGTTGGAGCAGCAGCTGACCACTCGATGCCTTGAAGACACTGCAGTTCGAGGCCCTGCACATCGAGGCTCAAAAAGTCCACGTGCTTTATGCGGAATTTTCGGAAGATTTCCTGTGTGGTAAGAGCTGCGAATTCTTCAGGTGTAGGGTCTAGGTTTCAGGTTTGGGGACTGAGGGTCTCAGGATCAAGGTTGAGGGCTCATGGTTGAATGTGTAGAAGCCAAATCTTTAGGAGTCTTACTGGTTCCTCAATATAGAAGCAGGGAATATATGTATATGTGTATATGATATAGGGAATGTACAAGGATTATATCGTCTATTCCTCACGAACACCCAGTGAAGACTTTAGGGTGGAGGTTTAAGATCCAAATCTTCGGGTGGAATCTGGAAGCTGAATCACAGGGAGGTCCTAGCTCCCAAGACCCAAAGACCTACTTTAGGGTGTGGGGGTTTAGGGTTTAGGGTTTAGGGCCTGCTCCAGCAAATGAAAGGAAGGTCTTGGCGCTTCAGGAAGGTTACACCAACTCCAAGCTTGTTTCGGGTAGGGTATATCTCGGGGTACACAAGCCGAGGAAACCTGCCGTATCCTATGTCAACCCTAAACCCTAAACCATTAACCCTAAACCTTAAAACCTAAACCCTACACCCCACACCCTAAACCCTAGACCGTACATCGCAAATCCTAAACCCTAAACCCCAGATCCTGAACCCTAAACTCTAGAAATCAGGGCGGTTTAGGGCCAAGGGCTATAGTTCCTGGAAACGGGCTAGCAGCAGTTGTAGCGCAGGTTTCCGGAAAATGGTTAATTGGCACTTGGAACCTTAGAGTAAACAGCGAAAAACACTTCCGGGATAGATTATGGACCCCATTCAAAACATGATCCATAGTCTAAACTCTGTCAAGGGGAGTTATACGAGGAATACATATATATATATATATGTATATCTGCATATACATATATATGTCATATATGTACATATATATGTATGTATATATATATGTATATGTATATATATATGTATATATATATATACATATGTATATGTACATATATATATATGTATATACAGGGGACTACTATCCGGGCTATGAAGGGGAATGCCAGAAGTTTAGAGTGTGGCTCAAAACTTGCTGCGTTGCTTGATAATAAACAGGGATACTGGCCAAAAATAATTGAATTGTTCCCAGGAATACAGCATGACTTGGTCAGTCGCCCAGTTTCTGCCAACGTCTCGCAGGTCAAGGTAGTTTCTTTGCCACCTGCGGTGCTTCCCAACTCAGAAGTCCCTTCTGGTTGAGGTTTAAGGTCTGTTTAGGCTTTAGGGCCATGAGCCCTAAACCACTAAACCCCTAAACCCCTATAAGCCCTAAACCCTAAACCCTAAGATAAATTCAGGTCCCCCTCTTTTGGGACACAGCCACCCTGCGCCCTCTTGTCAGCCATCATCTCACCAGAAACTCCCCCAAACACTCCCTTCATCCTGAATTTCACCTCCCTCTTCTTCTCCTGGGCTTCTGCTAAAGGGATCTTTAGGGTATATAGGGCTTAGGGTTTAGGGTATATAGGGTATACAGGGTATATAGGGTTTATAGGGTTTGTAGGGTCTATAGGGTTTAGGGTTTAGGGGGTTAGGCCTTCACCCACTAATAGTGGTATATCAGGAATCTATGGGGACCCGAATATAATTACCATTAGCCATTGTGGTCACTATTAGTGGGCGGGGGACCAACCTAAATTAAGTCAATATAAGAAGATCCAATCATTCAGTACTCTTATTTCTGGCAGTTTAACTTATACTCCTGAACAACAAGCCAGTCTCTGCAATGCACGTCTTCACGACTGCACATCGGCGCTTCTTGTCCAAATTTCCCCAGTACTCGTTGTTAGGTTCTATGCATACGCCGTCGAACTTGAGGCAATGGTCAGCGAAGTAGCTGTTACTGATGTATCTGTAGTCATTGGCTGCCAGATCCACATACACGCCAGGTCGGTCCATGTTCCTCAGTCGAATACCGTCAGCCAAAAGATACTTACTCATTTCTGACCAGATCTCACCAGCAAATCCACACAAAATGGCAGTTATCGCAACCTTTGCAATCAACATATGAGTTTTGGTTTTTATTCTTTGGCAATTTCATTACAGAAACTACCCTTCCG